GTCCCAGGTCGGGGCGCGCAGAGACCCAGGCCGCTGCTGGCCGCCCGGCGCTGCGCCCAGACCAGCGAGACCGAGCCCCCTCGGGTCGCGGCGGGGCTCGCCCCGCGTCGGGCTGGCGTCGCCCCTGTCATGCGCTGGTTTCTCGGTGGCGCTTCCCGAGCCTGCCCTCTTTGATACCCCGGCTTCCCTGGGCTCCCCAGAAGGGCGCGGGAGGTGTGCTGGGCCTGCAGCCTTTCTGCCCGAGCCTCGGGGTGGCTCCGGCTGCGCTGGGAGCTTGGCACTTGTTCAGTTGTCAGAGTGGGAGAGACCTTTTGGGACCGAGAAACCAGCAGAAGGCTCCTTCCCCTTCTATTTTGGTGCCTCGGTTGCTGCCACTTCAGGTCACATAGCTGTAGTGAAAACATAGTTGCTGGTTCACAACCAGATGACCTTCTGGCTGTGATTCACGGTGCGTCAGGCCAAACAGGTTTGTGTTTTTTCTCATGATAAACTTTAATATATAAAGTTCGGGTCACAAAAGAAATGGCTACAAATTAAATTGTTTTGATGTGTCGACACGTCGGTATAGAATGAGGAAGAAATTGTGTATTCATTCAATAAACATGCATCTCAACTCTGTGTAAGGAAATTTTCTTTCCTTTTTGTTTTTTATTGCAACCATTTCAGAGGTGAGCATCTTAAGAAATTGGGATTTTGGCTTTTTTTTTTTTTTTTCAATTTTATTTCTTAGTGATCTATTTAGGTCTAATCATTGATCTAAGTTTTAGGCTTTAGCCTTCTAGTCCACGTTGGAAACAAAGTATTTGGGAGTGTTTGTAAGCCAACGATGGACGGTGTGTTTTGTGACTGATTTCAGAAGAAATCCATGCTTGCCAAAAAATTTTTAATCAGCTGCTAACTGAGAGTCAGTACAAGAGTGAGAGCCTTGATCAACATATGTGTCTGACTTAGCTCTATTTGCATCTTTTGGTACAGAGGAAAACTTTTAGACTCAGCTAATTTTTTTTTTTTTTGGTATAAATACTAAGCCTGTGGATCATAATTATTCTTTACCATTTAAGATAACTTGGCAACTACATACAGTAGCTCTTAGATACCACGGAGTTAATCCCTCAGAAGTGGACGTTCACAGGAAGGTGGACACCCATGTATAAATACCGTGCTTGTGATTTTTAGTCATGAGTGAGCCAGTATATTTGATTTTTGTATTTATAATGTGATATATGTATATATATGCCCAGATATTTAAAAATAGTTACTGGTTATTATAACAGAGTTGTCCAGTATAGAAATACCACATTTGAAGCTGATGTCAAACCTGTGACAGATTAATATTTCGGAGAAGGAATTGGCAATCACCTTTGCACACATAAGCGTTTCATTTTGGCTTACATTTTCTGATATCAGGCAAGTTGACTTACATGGATCATATTAATCACACATTCAGACTGTTTGCTTGTGCCTTAGGGGTAGTTTATTCTGATTGCTTTTCTAGTTTTTCTCCTTTATCAATCTTCTTGGTAAGAAGCCAAATCCAGGTCAGGTATATCATCTGCCAAGGAAACAGAAATATATATATATATATATATATATATATATAATTTATATATAGTCTTTGAATCTTGCCTGTTTTAGCAAATGAAGATGCAGGCCAACTTTTGGGCTTCTGTTTTAAGTGCATTAAGTAAAGTAATGCTATCAGATAACTGTCAGGTCATTGGGATGTAATTTTGCTGTACATAAAGGGGCAGGCCTCGCAGCCTGTGGAACCTCTGAGAAGTTTGCAGTGGTGTAGAGAGATACCAGGAACAGAACAGTCCTAGGACAGTGCGTCAGAATCACCAGCATGATGCTGTCGCTGTCTATTTCCATTTACGCTGTCCCCTGACTTTACATGGGAAGATGTTTAATCCTTCAGATGGCTGGGGAGGAAAGAAGGTGGGGAACCATCCATGCATGGTCAGTTCTTGTTCAGAGAAGGAGCCCGAGGCCTGGAGCAGAGAGTTGCTTTGCCCAAGGTTAATTTCCTAAGAAGTGAGTTGGCATATTTGAGCATGAAGTTCACAGCCTCACATTTCTTCCTATGAGAAGAATAAAGATAGGTGAATTGAAATTGCATGTATCTATGAAGCCTGTGGAAATCAGTGCTTAAGATGTTTCTATACTACAGTGTACTAGGTGATTTAACACTCTGATTCAGACATCCTGTGCCAGTTTTGCATTTCAGCTCATAGATTTACACCCCATGCCCTTTTTTTAGACACAGTGAAAGATGTTACTGCAGTCACCTACACCGCTAAAGGGAAGAAGTTGGATTTTTATTCTAGAATTAATTTCTGGGTGCTTTTTCTACCAATGCACTTTTCCATCCTGGATACTTTGTTTTAGAAATTTTTAAAATTACAAATGTTACATCACAACACTGAATGTATTAAAAGTAGAAGAAAAGGAAATCCTAATATAGTTATCATTATCTTGTTCTTTTTATGTAGATTTATTTTTATGAAGAATTTGAGGTAATGATCATCATGCTAGCATACGATATGATGGGCCTGGGCCTTTTTTTGTCCGTCTTTTGAAAAGTGAAACAAAAGGCTTTTGTTGTCCAAATATAACAACAGAAAGTAAATATAGCACTATTCCTCAGTGTATAGTACTGTCCCCAAAATGGAGCATTTGTTTTTTACAATCAATTTAAAGCATATATGTGAACATACATTAAATAGGATTTTTAAGGGAGTTGAGCTGCTGCGGTTTTTATTTGAAGAGTTTTATCTTATTGTAGAAAACAGGATACTTAAAAAAGAAAAAAAGTGCTCCTCTGTACCTGCAACATGAACTGGAAGAAGAAAGTCTAGTTTTTTTTCCTGGCTCTGTGGCTTACCGTTCTAGTTTTCATACCATACAGTGATGTTGCTGATAACAACCAGACTGTATCTAATGAATGGTCCTGGCCGAATATTAACTTGTTTAATGCTTAGTTGCACCAAGAAGAAGCTCCAGTGGCGCATTCAGTTAACGTGTGGCACTTATATAACAGTTGCACCAAGAAGTAGAAACAGTGTTATTCCCATTTTACAGACAGTGGAACAGAAGGTTAGAAATACTGATGTTATTCAGGAAGTTGACTCCAGAGACTAATTCAGTAGGGAGCTTCTCCTGTACACATGGGCTTACATTTTTTATTTGTTGTATTTAAACTGAAAGATGGAGTCATGTGACTTTATGAATGTAAGTGCTTTGCAAACTGGAATGCTCAATATACGATTTGTAGGATGGTATCATGATGAGGATGTTGGCGCGTTTGATCATTTTCACTGATGTCTTGCTCAGAGTGTTGATTATGCATTTTCGTCTACCCCTGAGTAATGATGCTGGATCATTTGACATAGTAAATGAGTAATATAACTTTGTCTTGTTCATCATCATTACTTTTTCTCTACCAAAGGACATAGACAAACTGGTTGTAGTTCATAAATGTGTCAAAAGCATCATTCTATTTTCGAATGTTCATCTGATATAACTGTTTATGAATTGGCACATTTTTTAGTTCCTGTAATAGCTTTGAATAGTAAACTGTTCAACTTACATTAAATCCAAGACCAGTTTGTCAGTAAAGAAGGATGTAACTTTACAAAGGAGCATGGTATTTGTTTTTTCTGAGATCAGCAATTTACCTTGAGGTGAAAAGAATAAAGGTTTTTGTCCCTAATGAACCATGATGTGAGTGTTTTTTTTGCTTTTAAACTTTGAAGTTAAGCTCAGTCTTTCTTTTGGCTTCATAATGTACTTTTTTGCTACATTACAATAAAGGTATAAAGAGACTAGGTAACCTGTTATAGTTTCAAAGTTCTGAGACTCCTTCTTTGTGGAAATAAATAGCATAGAGCCAAATAAGACTATCTCTGTCTTAGGAAGCCACGAGTGTATGAAATCCAAAAGGCTGCAGGATGGCCTCCAGTAAAGCAGCACGACGCCCATATTCCTTCAGATCCCTGAAATACATATGAAGAGTTTGGGACCCATTAGTCTCATTTATTGAATGCTATTAAACAAAATGGTAAAACAGACTGAGTTAGTGGCTGTGTATTATTAGTAGGTCTCCTCTTCCATTTTTAGAAAAATAGTGGATGAACTGATGCAACATTATTAAAAACAGGTGTTGAGATACATGTCCTTTCTCCTTTCATCCAGGGAAAATGCTGGAATAAGTGATAAAAAATTACACACTATGACCCAGATTTACAGTTTGAGATCTGAAAGGGTCCTCAGGCCACCTCAGAGCATACATTCCAAAGAAGGCAAGACAGGTTCTTTTTCTGGCCTCTTTTTGTCTTAATGGCCTTTGAGAAGCTAACTTAATTCAGTTCTGGAATGGGGCTGTGAGGGTTTAGTTTCCCACATGAGGCACTAATAAAGGGACCACATTCAAGAGTTGTCCTTAGCTTGAGGA